CCCGAAGCGCCGCCGTGCACGTGCCTGGTCCCTCTCGGGGGGGTTCTTGCTCCCCCCGAGCGTGGTGCCGTCACCCCGGTTTTCCCGGTCACGCTATCAGCGTGGTGCGCCTCCTCTTTCAGAGCCGGAGGCGTTGTGGGAGGCTCCTGGTCTGCCTGCCAAGGCACCTTGTGTGTAAGTGTTCCTGTCCCCTGAGGAACCCCATACTTGAAGTCAGGTTACTTTGCTGCTGCTGCAGAGGACCAGACAAACTGTGAGGATTGTGGATGGGCTACACAGCGATGCTCCTGAGGGAAGCACCTGAGCCAGGCACCAGGTCTTGACCCTGCTGGCAGGCTGCCACAGGAAGGGAGCAACTTATGAGGCTTTGGGCCCTGGTGGAGAGGCTGTTTTGTCTAGAGCCTTTAGCCTGTGACCTGGGCAGGCAATTATGTCCTTGAAATAGTGTCTAAAGATACAGAGAGGTTTCCATTACCTGTAACATGAGAAAGCTCTTGCCCAGATAAGTGAATTATAAAGATGTACAAATATCTTCCACTTTGTTTTTGCAGCAGTCTTACTGTCCCTCTGTGGGCAGTAGTGACTAGTAGTGACTAAAGTGTGAACATAGCCTCCTGTGAAGGAAGAGTTCACAGTGAATGGGGATGATGGGCAGGGAGACCTGAAAAACTTGTGGATTAGGTATGATGGACTAGTCTCTTGTAGATTTAACTTTTATATTAAGCAGTAACTGGCTTTGCCGAGGCTGTAGGAGGGACTAGTACATAAGATCTATGAATGTAGCAAAGAAGAGGTAAGAAACAACATGTCTTATTGAGAGCTGTTGAGAGCTGTACGGACTTTCATAGGTTGGGAAAGACCTTCACTATCATCAAGTCCAACCATAAACCCATCACAACCAAGTCTACTAAACCATGTCCCCAAGTGCCTCATCAGCACTGATGGAGCCCCAGAGAGCAGGAGCCGGGAAGCAAATACTTCACCTGCTTTGAGATACATATTAAGTGCCTTTCTGTTGTTGCCCACCTTGGGAAGAGCCCTAGGCAGGGATGGAGGTCACAATTCCAGGTCTGTGTCTGCTGGTGACCTTGCATGTGTCCTTGGTCACTTGAACCTCACAGTACCTTCACCTGGAGCTGCAATAGAAACTGGCTACAAACAGCAAAAGGTCTGAAGCGACCATGTGCAGATGACACCATTTCACCTCATTGCTTCCCTTGTGGGCTGCCCTCTAATGAAGGGTCCCAGGGACAATGCACAGAGGACCCACTCATAGGAGCTGCAGCCCCTGCTGTCATCTTCTGAGTTCCTCTTGTAGCTGGCGTGGCAGCAGCACGGCCAGGCAGGTGGCCGTGAGGCTGTGCAGCTCTACAACTTGCCAAGCAGTCTTAATGCTTCCAAATGCAGCTGAGATGAACTGGGGAGATGTTTAGCCTTTACTTCACAATAAAATTGGTTTTCTCCTTAAGACCTGTGTCATAAAAGCAGTCTAACTGGTAAACATGGCAGTTCTGAAATACCGGGGGCAGGGGAAAGGTAAGGAGACTGCCAAGAACATACAAGTTAACAAGCAAAATTATACTGTTAGAGGCAATGATACTAGAAGAATTAGTCCTCTACTGCTGAGAAAATTAGTACAATCTTGCTTTGTCTAAGCTGTAATAATTCAGTAATAATGCATGCCTCCCTATTAGATGGATACTTTGCCTCTTAAAATGGTACAGTCTTGCTAGTTGTAAAGCTTCAAAGCTTTAAAATGGGGAATTATCCTATTGATTTGCTTGGTTGTATGAGCTAATAAATTGCTAGTTAAATGAATTTTTAAAAAATTACTTCTGGCTTTAGAGTATACTTTTGAATTATTTAACTGATCACTATAATCTAAATACCTGAGACTAACTGGTTTGGCTGCTAGCCAAAATACAAGTTTTTGAAGCCGTTAACTCTTACCAACTGCATAGGTGGCAGTCACATTTTTATCTATTTTTAATATCTTATGGGCTGAGTAGTTGTTCCCAAATTTGGTGATTCCTGTGAAGATAGCTTCCAAAATAAATGTTGATGTTAAAAAAAAAAAAAAAAAATTCTTGAAATCGCTCAAACGAAAAAATGATTTGCTGATGGTGTTCACAAAAATCCACAGCTGCTTGCTAGGGAAAAAAAAACATGCTTCTCTGTAAACCACTGTAGCTTGGAAAGGACTACTGTATAGTGATAGTCAAACAGTGATTTCTAAACTACTTCATTGTTAACTGAGTCATTTCCACCCTGGAAGATTAAAACAAAATATTACAGCTACAAGAATGTACAATCACTTTTAAGAGACTCCTGGAGCACAAGATCATATAGCTTATAGCAATGATCTAACAATACCTTTCTAGAAAATGTTAACTAAAGAGGAAAACTATTGTTACAGTTCTTAAAATATTTATTGGAGCTTCCCCCTTAAATCTTGTATTCCTGTGATAAAGCTGCAACAATGTGTTGCTAAACTACTCACCTGCAAAATTCTGAGCTAATAAAACTCAATACTGTTGTCCAGCACCTAATTCAATAGTTAGTTTAAATGGAAGTGAAACCTAAGATTTATCCTGCCCCAACTTCTGTGTTTAGATCTAAACCCGCAGTACCTCTGCAAAACTAAACAGTTTGTAAGTTGACACTACATGCAAGTTTATTAGCACTGATACTTGAAAATGGCTGTATGTTTGCCCCTAAAATGTCTCTCTATACTTTTTCAGCCTTTTCACTAACATTGGGCATGACACTAACATCTGTGGGCAAGCTGGAACGGGATTTCTCTTGCAGCAGTCTTGATCTTGTTCTTTACTACATCTTGCTATGTACCAAGCTGCTAATAGCAAGTATAGCTATGCAAGTATAATCTGCTTCATTCAGTAGGAGGCAGGCATAAGACACATAGTTGAAAGATATGTCTTAGAGGTTTCTCAGCATGATTACCTAACAACTGCAAGTCTCTTAAAATCTGTTTCAGAATAACGTATTGACCTGGCTAACTTTTCCAAGTTAATTTCTTCCAGATCAGTCTTTTGTGACTCTAGCTACAAATGACTCCTATGTGAAAGGAGCACTGGTACTTGGTTCATCTTTGCAACACTATAGAACAACAAGGAAGTTGACTGTACTCATAACTCCTCAGGTCTCAGATCTCATGAGGTAAGGTCACTTAAAGGCATACAGCTGTCACAGTGCCTGCTGATCCTGAACTCCTTTATAGGAACCTTCTAAATCTCCTTCTGAAGTCCTGTAGAATCATACTTGGACTATCTGTTGAAAAAGCACTGAATGTTTCTTCAGACAAGAGAGTTTTTTCTTATTTATTTGATATCACTGTATGATAATGACTTAAAAAAACCTCACTGTATTAGAGCACTGAACCGTGACTCGACAGTACTTCTTGAACTGGATCTCTGCTCTTTCATAGTCATAGCTGGAATTGCCCCCAAATATGACATTGTTTGTGCCTTCATTAGGGGTCTATGTGGAGGTGGGAGTAGGGAACTTGCTTCATGAGCGTGATTGAACTAATGTAACATTGAAACTCTGTTGAAATATAGCAGACACCTCAAATCAGAATACATAATAAGAGAATAAAATGAATACAACTGATGTAGTACCAAGGATGGCAGTAGATTCAAAACCATCTAGATAGGCTCACTGCAGTAAGAGAAATGAAATTTTCCGAAAACTGCTTCCTATGGTCTCTCTAGAAGTAATCTCATCATGAAACTAACAGAGGACTTTTTTCATATATAAGGTGGAAGAAAAATAAAGGGCTTAGTAGCTATATGAACTGCAGATCAGAATTCAAGAGTCTGTACATGAGGAAGTTCTGACTGAGACTAAAAAGTGGCTCAGTTAATGGAGTGAATCGCTAGAGTCGCTTGGCAGCTAATCAACGTCATCACTCCAGTGATGTTGCTCCATGTAGGTATACTATTTCATTGTAATAAGTGAGGACACTCTTTCAAGATGAACTGGATAAGCATCCTTACTTATACCAGCTATAGCAACCCTACCAGTAGACACATAACATAACTTGAACTTATATTTTTCACTCTATCTACAAACAATTTGTCTTAAGTTCAAAAACAACTATTAATACCAAATTTTTCATCAGTAGGATAGCCTTGTAAAGCAGAGTTCTAACTCATCTGTAAACTCTCAATGGCTCAAATGGTATAGATTGTTGCTGAGCATTAAAGATGCTGCTTACAATAGTGAGACTTCACAGATGTTTTAAATTCTTAAAAGCACATCCTCGTTAACCTCTTCGGTAACTAAGCAATAATGTTAAAGCAAAGGATGGATATCTGCTTCACTACACTGCCTAAAAGTTTGTTATTCTTAGGGTGGACATGACAGAGTTAAAATGCTGCTGCAGCTGCAGGCATGATTTAAGTGAAAATTTTAGGGGATAAAGAAAGCTTTAATACCTGAGCCAGTCACAAGTTTAGAGTAGCTATGGCTATTACATAAACTCCTGTTGCAACCGCTTAGCTGCTATCCAAAGTCTTGCCCAAGTTACTTTAACAGCTTCCCATTTCTTAATTGAAAGCTTAAAATAGACTGTCATCCCACCAAAAGAGCTCAGTCTGTTGGGGTGGGTGGGTGTGTGTAAAGCTTGCACTGCACAGCCATAACCTACATAACCTGGTAGCAATATCATCTAAGCCCTTATTTTGAAAAAATAGATAAGGTGTCCATTATAAGGTGTCCCATAAAGTGACCATTACAAACTAGAAAGACTAATGTGGAGAGAAATGTTAATGCATTCAAATATATGCAGTTGGCTCTTACTGTTGGCACATGAAATACTGTAATGGGTTCCTTGTTATACCACTTATGTTTGTGGAATCTGTCAAGTAGTCAGGTACTGGAATAACAATAGAACTAAATCCAGACAACTACCCTTTTCCACAGGAAAGTGCTGGAAAGAGTCTTCGATGAAGTTATATTGGTAAATATTCTGGATAGTGGAGATTCAGCACACTTGGCATTAATGAGGAGACCTGAACTGGGCATCACTCTGACAAAACTTCACTGCTGGGAACTTACGCAGTACTCAAAATGTATTTTCATGGATGCAGACACAATGGTAAGTAGTTTTCTTACGGTGTCTCTTCATGACCTGCTGTGAGTGTTGTGTTTTTAGGTATGTGCTATTTTTTTTGAAGGACTGAGGAAGGTTTTTGCCATTCGGGCATCAATAACTCCATAACTGTGGAGCTTCTTTTAAATCTAAACAAATATTTAAAGATATTTAAATCTAAGTATCTAATAAATGGGGATTATCTCAATTTAAAAAGCTGTGTTCTACCACACAAGACCAATGATATGATAATTTTTCTTCATGTTTGGAAGTGTATATCAAAATACGTTAAGACAAGATACCCAATTCTAGCCCAGAAACCAGAAAGCATTTTTTTCCCGCCCCCGCCTACAACTAGGTTTTGTCAAATATTGATGAACTTTTTGAGAGAGAAGAGCTGTCTGCAGCACCAGATCCAGGCTGGCCTGACTGTTTTAATTCTGGAGTTTTTGTGTACCGACCTTCCATTGAAACGTACAATCAGCTGTTACAGCTTGCCACAGAGAAAGGCAGCTTTGATGGTATGTATTAATCCCTATTCCACTATAATTTAGACAAAAATGGTAATGGTGGTTGGGATGGCTCATGGACATGTGGTATCAGGGCTCCTTATGATGGAATTAAAAACTGTTGTGACTACACAAAACTTATGGGAATAAAATCCTCTCTAGCAATGTGTTTTCAGATTCTGGCCCCCATGAAATGCAAAATAAGAGCTTGCCCTTTAAACTAGCAGATGAAAGCATTAGCAATGTAGAATCTTCTAATGTGTTTTAAAGATCAAGCAAATAATTTGCTGCACATGTGCAGCCATCTGCAGTATCACACTTCATGTATTTCTCAATGAAGTTCCCTTAAGCTAACCCTGACATTCAAGACTGGGTGTTTCAGGCTAATTCAAGCTGCTGTATTTTTTTAAAAACCAAACCAAAACAAAAAAAACCCAAAACCAAACCAAAACAAAAAAACAGTACAGATCAATCTCAGTGCAGCTCCATGGGAAAAAAAAATGCATTTGAAGACAGGATTATCACTTCATGCTAGATTAGACCTTGATAGACTGTGATAGCTTCCTATCTATCTTCATGCAACGCTGATAGTCTTTGTGCCAATATTGAACATTTGTAGCCCTGCCTGCTTCCCACCATAGGTCACTGTGCCAGATTTAAGCTCGAGAAGCCAACTTTTGCTGTCTTGTAAGTGTCCTAAAACTACAACCGCTGCAGTTAACGAAGCTGTTGCTTGAAGCTTGCTATAATTCAGTGCTTCTGAATGACTAGCACTGTCTCCCTTCACTAAATTTCATTATGCAGGTACTGTGGCACAGAGCTAACTGAAAAGGCTGAAGATAACTAGGTAAATAATACCATAAAATGCTCTTTTCTTTGAATGTGAAGAGCTAGCCTGTTGACCTACCTTTCTGTACCTCATAAGCAGTGAGAATTCCAGATGTCATTCCTTTTGTGCAGAGTAACTGCTATTGAATGCACTCTTGTGCCTTGCCTCCAAAAGAGCAATATATGTCAGTTGGATGCTTAATGCTACCATATGACTAAACTGCTGAAAATGTGTGTGTTCTTGAAATAAAGAGTTTGTCTATACATTGCAGTTGGCAGCTCTGAGAATTCTTAAGAGATTAAGTGTAAACTGATCACCAGCTATTGCAAAGGCTTTAACTGCCACACTCCTGTGCTAATAAAAGTGTGTGTGGGGTGGGGGAGCAGGGGTAGAGAGCTACGCAAGACCACTGTCAAATAGCTGCAAGAATAGCTAAGATGTGATGGTTGTTTGCTGAGATAGTTGAGACTGAGTCTTAGCAGACCCCATCTTAGGTCTGTTAAGGCCCCTGTCTATTAAAGAATAGAACTGCTTTCACACTGTAATTTGACTTGAGAGTCATATGGTGATGCAACTTCCTCAGTGTCCTAAACAAGAAGCAGTTGTTGCATTGCTTAACAGCAAAAAGGGTAGGTTAACAGTTTAAGTACCAATTTTCTAAAACTGTTGTTTCTACTTCAGCTTTTACTTTATTATTCAACTTTAATAATGCTAAATGGTAGCCCAGATCTGAATAATGAGAGAGGGGAGACTTATACTACTTGCTAAAGCTGATGCTGAGCATGTGAATTCAGGTGACAGAGGCATTTAAACTTAAATTGGTCTGAACAGTAATAAAAGTTTCTAGGAAGCTTTCTTTTTAAAGATAAATATCTGTGAAGGGTCACCCTTCTTAATAGCATGTAGGAATGCAAACTCTATAAGCTAACAAGTAATGGCTGAGTGTGTGCAACAATTCCAAGTAAGAAAAAGACTGATAGAATAAGTTGAGTATGTTGTTGCCATTACTGGAGTTATGAGCCATCTATTCTGCAGGTAGTTCCTTTTCTAGATTATCTTACTGTTAGTATATGTATCCTTAATATCGTGGTGCAGAGTCCAGTTGGAGGCCTGTAGTTAGCGGTGTCCCCCGGGGGGTCAGTCCTCGCCCCAGTCCTGTTCAATTTATTCATCAATGACCTGGATGAAGGCACAGAGTGCTCCCTCAGCAAGTTTGCTGATGATACCAAGCTGGGAGGAGTAGCCGACAACCCAGAGGGCTGCGCTGCCATCCAGAGGGACCTGGACAGACTGGACAACTGGGCAGTGAAAAACCTCATGGAATTCAACAAGGCCAAGTCCAAGTTCCTGCACCTGGGGAGAAATAACCCCAGACACCAGTACAGGCTGGGGACTGACCTTCTGGAGAGCAGCTCTGCAGAGAAGGACCTGGGTGTCCTGGTGGACGACAAGGTGACCATGAGGCAGCAGTGTGCTCTTGTGGCCAAGAAGGCCAATGGGATCCTGGGGTGCGTTAAGAAGAGCGGCTCCAGAAGGGTTAGGGCTAGGCCAGGCCTACAAGGATGATGAGGGGCCTGGAACATCTGCCCTATGAGGAGAGGCTGAGGGAGCTGGGCCTGTTCAGGTGGAGAAGAGAAGGCTGAGAGGAGACCTGAGCAGTGTCTAAGAGTAAGTACCTCAAGGGAGGCCGTGAGGAGGATGGTGCTGGCCTCTTTGCAGTGGTGGCCACTGACAAAACTAGAGGAAACAGCCGGAAACTGAAACACAAAAGTTCCACAGGAACTTAAGGAAAAATTTCTTAACAGTGAGAGTGCCAGAGCACTGGAACAGGCTGCCCAGAGAGGTTGTGGAGTTTCTTTCTCTGGAGATCTTCAAAACCTGCTTGGACGCAGCCCTGTGCCACGTGCTCTAGGTGACCCTGCGTGTGCAGGGGGGTTGGACTAGATGACCTCTAGAGGTCCCTTCCAACCTTAAGCATTCTGTGATTCTGTGACTATGATTAATACTGCATTAAATTAGAAGTTAAAACTGAAGTGTAGCTGAATGAAGACTGAGGGCTTGTCCGATTTCCTTGTTGCTGCTGTGTTGCGATGGGTAACTTCAAAAGTGCTTTCCCTCTTCATGGGCTGAGAAACAAGTCAGAAGTTCTGAATTACTGTCCTGTGTCTCTAGGCCATTTCTCACTCTGCAATCTGCATGTATGCTGACAGCTGTAACAGGATCCTTAGAATTTATATTTGTCAGTGTACCTCCTGTACCTCTACGTGTATGCCTGGTATCCAGACATTCAGTCTTAGAAAGCAAACTGTACTGAGGCAGCAGTAAGTGTGCAAACCTTAGTTTAATCATAAGACCTATGAGGCAAGAGACTGATCACTACAGCAAATAAAAGATTAAAATAAAATACTGTCTCTCATCTAACTATCTGTTCATTTATCTTCAGAAATGTTACTTTAACAGAGATAGAGGGAAGTGAGCAAATCAAAGTCAATTAAGTCTTTCAGTCATCTTGCATTTAAAGTGTATTCTGTGAACTAGTGAATGTATATAAATAAATAATTTTCTTGCAAATTAGTCTGCTTTTGCAAGTTGTTTTTTTTTTTTTTTTTTTTTTTAAGCTTCTCTACTACAGACATATCAAATTACTTTTCATTCATTTGATCTCTCTATACCCTCTAATTGCAAACTAAGAGGCAATTCTTACCAGTGCTGTAGCCATAACTTTGATAGTTAACCTCACTCAGTGGGTGAGTAACTTCATAAGATAGGTGCAGAAGTGTTGACTGTCTCAATGACTTTCTAGAATACTTAAAGCAAGTTAAGAAATAATGTCTAGAGGTCATACATCAACTTAGTGTATGCATAACAGTTGGTGGTCTTTGCTCTTGAAACACTGAATATATGAAACAAGCAGCTACTAAAAATGATTAAACTCAAACCTTGTTTTAGTGTAATTTGATGTAGTGACGTAGATGTGCATTAGCTGAATACTAGTAAACAGCTAAACTTTTATTTCCTGTTAAAGGATTTGGTCAAGTTCTGTAAGAGTTGTCACTAAGACTGAAATTGCTTTTATTAAGATCACAATGCAGATGGATGTATCCACGATTGATGACTTGTTAACAGAAAATTGCTAACCTAACTGGCTCAGAGATCTTGCTCTTAGCTTAAGTAATAAAACAAGCCTCTTTGAACTGGATCTTCTTAGCTATAGCTTTCCTGAAGTAAGTAGTATGCTATTCTCAAGACCTGTTCTCTGCTGCATTATACAGCTTGAATTAAGCTATAGTAAAATAACATGAATAGCAGCGTTTTAGCAGCTTGCTCTCTTCTAGAAAGCAGGAGTAACTCAAACATATTACCTTTTTCATGGTCTGCAATTTTTAGATCTAAGACTGCAAGGTGTAAGGGTTCATTCACAAGTAGAACTCAATGCTTTATGTCAGACTTCTCCTGGCTGCACTACTAATTCTTAATTAGGAAGGACTGGAAGATCTTAAAACACCTACCTAAAACAGCTTATTAATATGTTTTCAGGTGCGGACCAGGGCTTATTAAACACCTTCTTCAGCAGCTGGGCAACAACAGACATGAGCAAACATCTACCATTTATTTATAATTTGAGCAGCACTTCTGTATACTCCTACCTTCCAGCATTTAAAGCGTAAGTTCAAAATTCTGAAGGGACGCGCTGTAACCAGATATAGGGCTTATAAAAACTAATCTCTTGTTACATAATGGCAATGCACAATGAACTCAGCTTTTTTTTTTTTTTTCCATAATTGGAGATCACTGTTACAACCCAAATGGGGGGGTGGAATTAATATTAGGTAAATTAGTTATTTCATGGTGAGAAATACAAAAAAGCTGTGTCTGGGACTTTACCTAGCCTTGGGAGTAATATTTAAGTTGATTTAGAATAAGCACACTTGTGCTTCTTCCTTTTTGGAAGTGATTTCTCAGCTCTGGTACAGCCTGGGAAGCTATTCCAGCAGTCATCAAAGGTAGCAGCTCTTCAATTGTCTTGAATCCAGTATGTCACTGGTGGTGGTGTTCCTGTCTAGATAGCTTGTCCCCTCATTACTTAAATGACAGAATATTTAATTACCCTCGTATTACTAAATACCCAGTAGTTATTTCATCTGTCAACCTATACTATTCCTATATGAATTGTACAAAAGTGTTTAACTTGTTTAAGGCTAGAATGCTTCACCAGTCTTTCTAGACCTAGAGCAATTTCTGTAAGCAACAGGGTGGGAGAAAGACTACACCCAGGTGCTATGCCCTTGCACATGTCCAGTGGGGAAAAAAAAAACCCACACCTGTCTAACAGTATTAAACTGGGTTTGTGACTAAACCCTGTGATAAGCAAAGTTACTGCTTCTATAAGAGCATTGTAACAGGCAGACAAGAGGCAACATGAGAAGCTGAATCCTAACCCAAACCCATGTTCATTAGGTAAGAAAACAGGTACCAGTTACATAAAAACAATCTGATTTCTGAATGACATGAAGTTACTAGTGTCTAAAGCAGCAGCTAGCATAAACAGGACTGTTGCTGGCTCAAGCTCAAACTATGTCTTGTGATCAGAACACCCACTGAAATCTTGCCATGCTAAAAGTGGAACACTTATTTTAAGAAATACGTACAAGCCTGAGAATGACTAAGTGGTTGGAGAGCATTTGATAAGCTAACTTCTATTATGAATTATATCCCCTTGCTGTGGCTGGACTGGTTGATAGTCACATGGCCTTAAACTTACAAATGACCTTGATGTCACAAAATACTAATGGGGTTGGTAGCTGTTGACAAAAACTCCATTTACCTGATCAAATCAGTTACCTGACTTCAGCAGACCTTCCGAAAAGCAAAATGGAAGTGTGGCACTTTAGAACACCCTACTCAGTGGGTAAGCAACTTCTCTTGCTTAGATGAGGAGCTACATTCATAATAACTAGCAGCTGGAATAAACTGAAGCTTAAATTTGTTGACATGATTAGGTAAGTTTTTTGCAGCTTTGTACAGCAAGACAAGCAAGACTTCACAGGGGTCTCGGTAGTGCTTTTTCTAAAGGATAACAACAACATAGGAGAAACTGTTTAATTTCAAAAAAAATCATGAAGGACATCTTTTTGGGAGAGCAAAAAAAGATTATGCACTGTGGCAAATGTGGCATGTATTAACTGTTGTACAGCTCTTAAGAGGGTAGAATACTAAGAGTACTTCATTTGTAGAAATATTGTAACTTAATGCTTCTTAGACATTCTCTGATGCTAAAATTAGAATTTGCCATTTAAGCCTTGATTTATAACAAGGCTTGCTTTATAACATAATATTTATGACAAATCTTCTGAAGCCAGCAGAAGGCTAAGATGAAAACACAGCTGATAAAGCAATGTGCCAGCTAATGAAACTTGGGATTTTCATTCAATGTCCAGAAACACACCTTCCCAAGAGTTTGCTTGCAGCTACTGCCAATACTTGATCTTGCTTCAAGCATGCATGGGTTTTCATGCCTCAATATCAGTCATGTCCATAACACTGTATGCAAATACAGTTAATCTTTCAGTGTATGGGAGGGGAGGAGTTAAGAAATGCATATGCTTTGATTTTTTTTTAGTATTTTAAACACGTTGAATCACACTTTCACAGTCTCCATAAGTAGAAGTGAAACATCCGAGTCCCAGTCAAAATGACTTGGGCATACTTAAATTGTATTACTGCACAAGCTAGTTTTGCATTATCATTCAGTTCCATTTCATTATGTGGAGAAGAAATCCTAACACATAATACAAACTGATCAAGATATGAAAACTGTTGTTACTAGAGAGACTGCTAATTTTCAAAACTGACTCCAGTTAAACTCTATTATGAAACTACAGAAAAAATGTAATTACTGTCATCTTTTTTTACTTCAGTTCTTCAAAAGGGTTGCATCTTGTCTACACACATAATGCAAAACATCATACTAATAATGTTTGGGACAAAGCTAGAAATCCATACAGAAAATTGAATTTAAGTAATTTCAAGGGGTTGTCTTGCAAGATCATGCTGCAGCAAGATCGAAAGTCTTCTGGAAAGGCTAGCTTACATATAGCTTTATGTATAGCTTTTACAGGGATGTAGACTGAAAAATTAACTCTCTACACTGACCCTTCCATAATGCTTATACTGTCTAGCTGTCTGGATCAATGACTTTGGAGTAGAATCTTTTTTCACTTTTAAAACTAGTTTGAATTGCAGCGGCTGCTTGAGACTGCTCTCTCCTGAGCTCTGGACATCATTCTACATAAAGACTTGAGTTTGCTGTAAGTACTGAAATAGTCCAGACATTAGCTTTTTGGCTGTATTCTGACTAGCATAATGTAGAGTTCTGTTTGCACTAGCAATGCTTCCAGTCCCAGTAGGCACTGGCAGTTTTATATAGCTTACTGTTTGGTTTCCTAAAGACATTCATATTTCTGTTTTCTGGATACCAACAGAAACTGCAGGTTCTAAATTTGCAGCAGATCTCTTTCTGGACACCGACAGAAATTATGAGTTCTAACTTTTTCTGTCTAATAGGTTTGGTGCAAATACTAAAGTGGTACATTTCCTGGGAAGCACAAAACCATGGAACTATACATATGATTCCAGGACAAAAAGCCTAAAAGGAGAAATGCATGACTCTAAAATAGTTCACCCAGAATTCCTCAACATGTGGTGGGATACCTACATGGCTAATATTTTACCATTACTAGAAGAGTATGGAATCATCAAAGAAAATACCACTGCTGTAAACACGGTATGTGTTTTTTTAATATTCCTGTATAAACTATCCAGGTATGGGTTCTTAACCATTTCACTGACTCCCTTCCCCCTCCAACTCAAAACACGGCTTAGGTTTAAATTAGTTTTTGGGGTGTATTTTGTGTGTTTTGTTTTTTTTTTTTCCCTCCTATTTTGGAATAGAGAATAACACAGATGACAAACGTGTTGTAGTAGTCCTGAACATAAATGTATTGCTAAGTTGCTTATTTCCAAATTACCTAACCTACAACCAACTATAGTACGTGGCTAATGGTGTACCAGAAATTAAACTGAGTGTCTTTTTTAATACGTACAGTGGGGGGGGGGGAGGCTAATTCTAAATGTGTTTCAGCTAATAGTGTTCTCAATAAAAATCCAAATTCATTATACAATTCATACATACAGATTTTACAAGGTAAATCTAGGTATGACTAGAATAATTACAAAATTAATACTTCAGTAGACTCACAGGGATGAATCTTAACACTTACCAAGCCCAAAGTAACTCTTCTAATTCTGGTTCTCATGCATGGAGTTTAGTAGCATGTTTCTTAACTGTAGACTCTACAGTCTCAACTTAAACTAGCCCATAGGCTAAGTTCTCAGCCTTTCTCAGCCCAGAGTTACTGATCTCATAAGCTGTATTTTTCTCCTGTTAATCTTGCATCTTTCATCTTTCTAATGAACTATTTGCAGCTATCGGGCTTGGTCTATACTCTGGCTTTCTCTTGTGGCTTCTGTAGAGAGGTATGAAGAACTAAAACTTTTTTTTTTTTTCTTCTCTCTCTCCCAGCTCAGTTCTGTCACTTTTGCTTTGTTATTTTGCTAGGAAAAATGCAAAATCCCTGCACACTGGCAGTGCTTGCTGCTGTGCATGAGAACATCCATTTGGTTATCCCACTTTCATGTCTATTGCTCACTTTAGCTATGCAGAACATTTCTAGATTTTCACTCTGCCTTTCTTTCTTAGGCAGAGGTTACAGAGGCAGTGTCCCACATGTCAGTATCAGCAGCAGCACCACCACCACCTTCCCCACCAGCACCAGTTCTACCAGCTTTGTCTTCACTAGAACGCAAGCAACGGTGGGAGCAAGGCCAAGCAGACTATATGGGATTGGATTCTTTTGACAACATCAAGAAGAAGCTCGACACCTACCTTCAGTAGAAATACTAGCCTCAAATGCCATCAGTGCAAGGACTTGCTTCTGTACTGTAGCCGGTAGAAAGCTGTTGAATGCGGTCAGTTAAACTTGCTAGTAGCTTGAAGAAGATTTTTCGTTAAAGGTCTCTTCAGTGCTACAGATGAAGACTGAGCAAAAGCTAGGAAGCAGAATTCCTTAGGCCAGTTATAACTGCCCATTTTCCAATTCTTCTTCCTAGACTAAACACAGGTATTTTCAGCTTAAGTTTTCTTCTGTTGCGATCAATACACTAAATTGGCTCAACAAATTTCTTGAAACTGTGGGTTTGTACCTCACCTTATTAAGGTGATTAGCATTACTCCCTTAACTCGCTATTTTAGATGCAAAATCCAATCTCTGGGATTGCTCGTTGCTCACTAGAGTGGTTGCCATTCTGCCTTATAATACATTTATTAATGACACTGGGATACATGCAGGTGTAACAATAATAGCACTGCTTTATTTTTCTAGTCACTCTTGTACTGAAGATCTTGACCAGATTCTTACACACAGTGCCTAGAATGTGGCAGAATACATTTGTTAAGTTCTGTATAGTGTGGTAACTAGTTAAATGAGTTTTATCTGTTACTTGTAATGTTGCACTTGATACAAAAATAAAAAGTTGTCATGCATTACTGGCTTTTCTAAACTCTGAAGCAGTTCAAAAAAAATGAGACCTGAAGAAATCTTACTAAAATGTTCAATAGGTGCAATCCTTAAACTTTGCTAACTCCACTCTTAACTACCATAAGCAGGTGGCCACCATTAGTTCTCTAAATAGTTCCAGACTAGTCACTTGCCAGGAAGCTGCTTAAGGCAGATCCCCGTAATAGACTGCCATGGATATAGGATAGGCCTGTGGAGGAACCACATACTGAAAGCTACTCAAACCAGCAGAATGGAATTTGGGAGGAGGGAGTACAAAGAAACATAATTCCTAACATAAGCCCTGTAGAGTATGAACTTGTCTTTAAACACAGATATGATGCTAGGTTAGGAAGGAAAGATTCTCAGATTTAGAAGTCAGAAGAGCAACTACCTGTTTTAAGTAACTTTACCTGCCTTGATTAGGAGAAAAACAAACAAAAAACGATGACAAAAATGCACATTTTTTTCCACGAAGAAAGAGAGTAAGAGAGGAATGTTTCTCCAGGAAACACAGTAGTGATAGCCACAAACTACTTACATCCCATTAAAATAAAACTAAACAAAAACATGTTTTTTAACCACTCAAGTAGCTGAACAGATCTATCTAGTCAGCACTTTTGCTTTCCATTGGCTCCCTTTTTTTTCCAGCCGGCAAACATTTTGCCTTTATTTCCCAGTCTCAGTTCTACTTATGTCTACAATTCACATTGTATCTTAGAATATCAACTGTCTTGTTGTTAGAAAAACAAGACAGACATTAGGAGCATACCATGTTTTACCACTTTGCTGCCAAGTACAACTCCTCAATGTAAACACAGTCTAAACATAGCAATCTATACCTCCAGTTCTGAGAGTCACAGGGAAGCCAGCTTCACCGCCCCATAGCACGTAACAGAAGACCAGAACCAACTGGTTTTCTAGAGAAGAGAAAGATAGAACAGAGGAGAATATACAGAATTCTTCAGTGGTATTTATTAATGCACAAACAGTTGAGTAATTTACCAAATGACTATTTCCTGTAGCAGTCAAGACGTATGTAGATCATCCTTCCACTAACACATGTTTCAACCTGCAGAATACATGGTGTATGTTATAAAGAATGTTGACCATTTCAGGAAGCAGTTAGAATGTTGCTAGTCATTAATCATTTCACTCTGAGCAAGTTTGCAGATGACACCAAACTGGAAGGAGTGGCCGACACTCCCGAGGCCTGTGCTGCCATTCAGAGAGACCTAGACAGGATGGAGAGTTGGGCAGAGAAGAACCTCATGAGGTTCCTCGAGGACAAGTGCAGGGTCCTGCACCTGGGCAGGAATAACCCCAGGCACCAGCACAGATTAGGGGTTGACCTGCTGGAAAGCAGCTCTGTGGAGGGGGATTTGGGAGTCCTGGTTGACAGCAGGTTAATTATGAGTCAGCAATGTGCCCTTGTGGCCAAGAAGGCCCATGGGATCCTGGCTGCAGCAGGAGGAGCATTGCCAACAGGGTGAGGGAGGGGATCCTGCCCCTCTGCTCAGCCCTGGGGAGGGACCTGGAGCATTGGGGGCAGTTCTTGGCTCCCCAGAATAAGAGGGACATGGAGCTGCTAGAGAGGGGCCAGCAGAGAGCCATGAAGATGGTGAAGGGACTGGAGCATTTGTCATATGAGGAAAGACTAAGCAAGCTGGGCCTGTTTAGCCTGGAGAAGAAAAGATTGAGAGGAGATTTGATCAACCCCTTCAAGTACCTGAGAGGTGACTGTAGGCTGGATGGACCCTCTGCCCCTGCTCTGGGTGTCCCTGCTGGAGCAGGGCTGGACTAGGTGATCCCTAGAGGTCCCTTCCAACCTCAACCATTCTGTGATTCTGCAAAAATATGGTGGGTTTGGTTTTATGTTTTTGTTTGTTTAGTTTTTTTCTTTTAAAACTTAGAAAGGCCAAATGATTCACTGATTGGCAAATGGGTCATATTCTACTTTCACATATCACAACTTAAAGCACAGTTCAGCGTATGTTTATATGTGATTATAAACTTCATTATGAATATAAGCATCTGATTCTAGCATTTTATCCAAACTGTAAAACAATTATACACATAAGAGAAATATCACAAAAATATTTTATAAATATAGTAGTTAATTTTTGACAAGCTCTTAGGAAATAATCAACAGAACAAATCCCTGCTGCATCTGTGTATTATTCAGAAATCATGAAAAAGATTCCTGTGCATCATAATTACACATGTTCAAATATATAAGGAATCTTTATGAAGTGATCACTGATCATGTATTCTAAAACAAAAACAACAAAAAAAGAAAATATCTGTTAACAGCAACACCAAGATTGGAACATGAAGCCAATTTGTTTCTTAAGAGTGGTGATGTTTTAGAAGAACAACACATATGCTGTGCTTTTGCATTTTAAAAAAGCAATGAAATTACTATAAATTAGAATGCATGAAAAATACGCACTTCCTTTTGGTTGGATTTTTAGGAATTCTTAATTTTCATACCTAATATGTAACACTTAGAAGAAAACACCTTAGAAAGATTTCAGTACTGCAAAATACATTTGTGTATTTCTAAAGCAACATTCAGGAGAAAATTAATTTTTCTGGTTTAAATCACTGCAAACATTTATGTTTTGACTACACATAGCAAAATTACAAGTTATCATGAGAAATATTTTGAAGATTAATCTATATTAACTATTTATTTTTTACTCAGAATACCATAGTTTCAAACTATAAATCAATTAGAGCCTTGATTTCATTAATTTTGTTTTGCTTTATTTCACTTGCAGATGGCTTTTTGGTAGCAAAGGCTCCTGCTGCAAGTTCCCTCTTCTTATTCTGGATTTTCAGCATGTTTTCTTCTACTGAATCCTTCACAATGAACTGAAATACATAAAAAGTCCAATGAGGAAAACTCATTCGCTCTCCGGCCCCTTAATTTAAAAAAGTACTTAAAAAAAAAAAAAAACGCACATCAGAGCACAGTTACATTACTTAGTAGTCCTTTTTTGAAGAAAAAATAAGAGGGAAGAGTTATAAAAATATTTAGCATGTTAAAAGAAGAACAAAAAAGAAGAAAAAGAATTGTTGAAAGCATCGATATAGAAAAGAATTTATCTTCATTTTCCCAAGTATTACTTTTATGATTAAGTACTGGATGACACAATCTAGCTGCTCTGCATAAACAAGGTGCTGCAACATAACATTCCAAATACCTCCAAAATGATAAGCAGTAACAACCAGTCTAGGCATAGCAATAGCACCATCTTAGCCCCTCCAAACAGCTCAGAGGGGACACCTTATTTTCACTATTATTATTTTAGAGGAAATAGGTTACATATAATAAAACCTTACAATCCAATGCCCCTACTTCAGAAGTCATACCACAAATACAATTAAGTTTACTGGTGCGACATACGGTATTATAATTCTTTAAAAAAAAACACAACAAAGCCTTTCAGAAAAAAAATCATAATCATTAAGACTTCAAACAGACGATCTTCCAATTTACCTTAGTAATAACAACGTCGTACTTCTGACCCAGTCGGTGGCACCTGTCAAAACACTGGTCTTCTGCAGCAGGGTTCCAGGCCTATCGGCGGCAACAACGAGAAAGTTAAATAATGTCTGTTCAAAACACCAGTAAGGTGCATGCAGAACCATTAAAAATGTTACCATACCAAGAGCACCCGAACATACAGAGTACTGCACTGCAGATGAGCTACCCCCAGCCTGAGGCTAGCACAAAAAGCCCTCTGATGGCTCAATACTTAAGAGGACTGCAAGCAGTTAACAGAACACACATGGAAACAATACTTTCTAAGATACATCACAATCAATGATAATATTCTAAGATATGTTACAATTTCAATAATTTCCAGATCTTTGTCTCCATGTTGTTGTTATCACTAATTTGATTGCAAAGCTAGTACTACTATTTTATTATTGCTGGTACCAGATGTGATGCCTGGTCTGAAGCCATGATTCATTACCTACATTTACTTTGCTTTTTTTTTTTTAAGGTGAAATCAAACTGGAGAATTTATCTCACTTTCCAATTCAAAAAAAAAAAAAAAAAAAAAAGACCAGGGCATAAAAATAAATAGTGGAAAATGAAGAAAGTGAACAGAAAATTTTGTGCAGTGAATAATCAGACAGGATGAGACAAACCAGTTCTTTTAAAGATACTGTATTTCTGTAACTACTTTGTCACTATAATTTACACTTTCTTTCCATACAAATAACTTTTTAATACACTTCTTCCAGAGAGCTTTAACTAAAAAATAAATGCATAAATAAATAAATACTAATCTAATCACTCTGAAGTCAGGTACCGTATTTCTTGGCTTCTTACAATTGTAAGAAGTGCTCTCAGACTCATGTCTTTATTTGTAAGTAACTTCACAAAAATTACAGAAGAGACTATAGAAACACACAAAAATAAGAGTTTTTGCAGAAGCAAATCCCCTGTACCACTTTAACCTATTAAATATCACAAACAGAAAAGCATATTAAAAAGCATTCACAAAAAAAAAAAAAAAAAAAAAAAGGAAAGACTTCAAATACCACACTAAGATGTTACACTACTTTGTAAAGAATACTATTACCACTCCAGCAGCTCTTCCATTCACAGGAAGTAAAAACAGACACATAAGAGTATTCTGATAAAGTAAAAACACAGCACCAGGGAAACAAACAAAAGTTCTGCTTGTCCTTAAGAGATACCTATGGTGTAATGTGTTCTCACAGGGCTTTCCCTCTGATAACACTAAAAGACTTTCACTTAAGATTATGCCAGGTCTTTATGAACAACCTATCACTTACAGGATCCATTAAAAACACTCGGGAAGCTGCTGTGAGATTTAATCCAAGTCCACCTGCTTTTAGAGACAAAAGCATTATAGTTGGGGATCCTTGTTGACTGCTCTGGAAACACTGAATTGCTTCTACTCTTTTTTTCTGTGCCATGGAGCCATCCAAGCGAGTGAACAAAAATCCTGATTTTCTGAAGAGAAAACAGTAACATTCAACAATCCATTTTCTGTGACAACGGCAAACACACATAATCAAATCTTGACCTCTAATTTGAAATTTGTATTTGAAATTGTGCATTTTAAGGGTTATTCATTAAAAAGAACAGGAGTGAGATTCATGGTTTATACCACTAAGTGAAGCTTTTTAGTAACACGTTCATCTTCTGAAGTTATGAAAAACTAAAATAAGACTCTCGTGAAACCTTTCTAAATGAGTATATACTTACTAAAAATGACAGTAGTTCCACTTACTTCAAAGGATTTTCTATCAGTGACAGGAAGGTTGTGAACTGAGAAACAACCAGACATTTAGTAGCTGGATTCTCCTTCCGTAGTTCTATTAAAGAATGCATTAGAGCATTTATCTGAAATCAAATGAAGACTTAGGCAGTTTGATTCTGACTTGGCTACATTTCACTCCTACTATCGTGCTTTGATCAGGTTCACATCAACTGAAATACCAGTCTTCCGTAACACCATTTAAAACAGCTAATTCTAGGTAATGTGGAGTGAGTTTCTTTAGTTTCCCAAACAAAGTAAGGGTTGAGCACTTTTAATGGTTAAAAACTACTGACTGAGAAAGAAGGACAATGAGCCCCTTTTCTAGGCCTACTGCCCACCATCAGGAACCAACGACTCCCCTAACCACAAAACAGATGGAGAGAAAAAAGAAAAAAATGAAAAAAAAGAGACTGGAGCTCAGAATACTAAAATACTAAGATTTAAGCAAGACACAGCCACAAGGTGAGCGTCTACTATAGAAAAGCTCAACAGGCAAGAAAGGCTTCCCCCATGACTACATAGGCAAATAACCTCTAGGCCCCTTTCTGGGTATGGCAGAAGATAAGGAAGCGCCAGAACTCTCAGGAGCAGCATGAAAAGAAACGAGCAGGGACTTTGGCACGCAGCAGAGAACATAGGCAATTTTCTCATGTAATGAACCACTGCTAGAGAATGTAAATGGAGGAAATATTAGCACCAGTTTTTAAAAAGAAAAACACAAATCAAACAAAGCACAAAAATCTTAAATCATTTTAGAGTACAGTGTCTGTCTTAGGTCTCCACAGAAAGATTTTTTAGGGAGGACATTTAAAAACAACTTTTGAAATAACAGTAACTTAACTGCAAATTTAAATGAAAAATATAGTGTTCTGAAAAAAAAAATCTTAAAACAACAAAAATACTGGAAGCACAAGCAAGAAAAAAAATCATGTTTGGCAGTAAATATACAATGAAGAAGGTGAGGCACTTCAGACCTTGAAAAACACATCTACGAGGTAAAGGTCCTGTATCAATCTGGCAGGTCCTGTACTAAGTATGTGGGGCTCATTCATTTTTCCCTCTAGAGCAGAAAATGTCTATTTTTAGTCAATTTCTGAGAAAGAATATTTTCACCTTCCTAAATGAACAATGCAATAGCGTTAATGGTTACATAACTACTGCGTTGCCAGAAAAAGAGACACAAGATACAGCTTTCTACTTTTCTACTGAAAGTTTCCTTTTGTGTGTACACATCAAAGTTCACAGAGATGAGTACCAGATACAACAGGCACTCTTTCAGTCTGGTTACTCTACCACAAAATGTGTTTGCAGAGCAATTTTATTACCATTTTCTCCTGGGCTGTTTTGGCATGCTGGGCAGTCTTTTAAACAGTAATTTAAAACATGTGCTTACTTATGATTTATATAAAAGTTCTAGAGAGTGCCCTACAAAATCAGAACTAAACAAAAGCAAAACAAAATGTAATGTACCTTAGAACTGGATATCCACTCCTGATCACCTGTCTTCCCATTGCTGGAGTCTAATTCCTCTTCTAGGGGACATTCCATCAAATGATCTATTCGCAGTTCATTCCTACAAAGAGGGCAACTGGCCTTTGGCTACAAAAAAAGTAAAAACCCCGACCCAACCCCAAAACAATATTAGAAAAAATATATATTAGTCACAGCAAGTACTAAAGATCACCACTGTAAAGCACATTTCACAAAAGCTGTTATAGTGTTAACCATTAAAAAAATCCTCAAGGAGTACTCCACACTCATATAACATAATCAAAATAATTTTATTAGTTAGACCATTAAGGTAGCATGCTAAGAGGAAGCAATGCTAAAAATTATAATTCAACTCAGTTTTCCTTATTTTTTCTTTTTTAGAGCATGCTTATATTTGAAATAGGCAGCTTCAGATTTAAAAGCCAGCAAATACTTGGTCTGTGGGGAGAAAACTATTTAAAGTATTGTGCAGTAAAAAACAAACCATCTTTCAAAGTGAAGATCATTCTTATCTGTAAGCAAAGGATGAACTTAAACTCATTCTTTCCTCAAAGTAAGCAGAGAAATTTTAGTAATCTGATGAAATGTGCTTTGTTAGGGCTAGATATCAGACACAGGGTACCATCATCTCCCCTGACACATACACACACACACACACAAACATGAGAAATTAAAAATAATTTAGCACCAACGACTCTTCTCTTTGAAGCATACTGGCTAAGGCAAACCTTAGATTTTATCCAGCAGCACTCTCATGGGACTACACACAAAATAAAGAAAAGACTGCATGCACTATATAAACACAGGACTTTGGGAACCAAACACACAGAAATGAAAAAGTCTTGATCAACAGTGCAACCACTTAAAATTATCTAAGTTAACTAACAGAGCAATCTGTGCATACAAAGCAGAGCCTCTCAGAACACACTGCAAAGGCCATCTCAGGATGCTACTCTGGAATGAACACCCAGACAGCTAAGAGGCTGGCAATGAGTTTGCACATACAGCAGCAGTAACTCCCTTTCAGGAGAGAGGGAAACACAACCCTATCCTCTCTCATTCCTCCTGCCACAGAGGAATCTGATATAAGTCTTTACAAAAGTAGTTACAAATGAACTTTCCCTAGTCCAAAACCTTCAAATATCAAGACAAAAATAGATAAAATTTAACAGATTCAGGAAAAAAAGGAAATCTTCAAATCCTTCTCAGTATGACAGTGCTTGGACTTTGTTGTTTGTTTAAAAAAAAAAAAAAACACTCACATCTTCAAACATCCCTTCTCCAACTGAGTACTGGAATTAAAACCAACATAAAAACAAAAACACAGATGTACAATGGCAACAAAGCCAAGCAGAACTTGCAGTGAATGGATATGAAAAATGCCAAGATTAATTTCTCAGAATAAAACCTAGAAGAAATTAAAACATTTGATGCTTATCTGGCACGGTTTTAGATGAATAGAAATGCACAGGGATTCAAACACTGTAGATATTTTACAGCTTTATTAGGACTTTTAAATAACAACTCAAGCTAGCCTAGATGAAAGGCTTGTACTGAAAAGGAAAGTTTAATGAAATGTTGACCACTAGAAGCTTTTTCCTATTTCAATAAATATATCAGGGAAAACAAGTTACCTTGAAGTTTGTAATAAATGAAAGATAAATCTTTTTACTCAACAGTTCTGTGTTGGCAGCTTCACATCTCACTCCTCACTGACAGTTTAATGCTTCCTATTGTATTAGGAATGGAAAACACAGGCATCCTGCCTGGAAGACACTGCATGGGTTTATACTGTTTTAGAGGACTTGGCATGGGTCGTTTTGTTGGTTTGGTTTGTTTTGAATTGAGCTGTTCAGTAAGGTCCTTTCCTGAGTTATTTGCTAGGTTAACGTTACATTCTAACAATTCTGTCATAGGACTACCCAACTGAGATGCAGCATTAGCACAAACACCTACCATATGAGAAAATGGTAGGTCTCTTGACTGTAGAATTTAGATGTCTGTCAGTGTTTCAACTAGGAGCTGCAGAAACTCCTTTCAGAAGGAAGTTTCTGAAACTACTGTCAAAGTTTGACAGCTCATCTATCCATATCTAGGCTAATAGTTTTTATACACCAGAGGGTCAATGGCTAGATGGCCTTCTGGTGGTACCTGTTCTTAATTTTTTTGAATAGCTATTACAATTAAATACAATCATAAAACATCCAACCTGTTCACTTCTGATGACTTCATAAATACACCGTTTACAAAACACGTGTGCACAGTGTGTTATCACAGGAAGAGTCAGTGATTCCAAGCAAACTGCACATTCTTCATCTGAACCAGTGCTCAGAACCAGTTTCAGCTTATTCACTAACATCTGACGCAGTTCTTCAGGAGTATTATTACCTGCCAATACAGCAAAATACTTGAAAGTAGCAATTCCACATAGGAGACTGAACCAACGCACACCAGCACAGTTCCACTGATCAAAACACAGTTATAGATCTTACACAGTAAGGATTTAGCCTACAATGTATAAAATCCCATGCTTCTTTTAGGACAAACATTTATAACAGTGTTTTATGATGACAAATGCTAAAGAAAAATTCAAATTTACTATTTCAAAAAATACTAAGAGTAATCTTATTTGGAAACAAGGAAACTAGTACTCAATCTAGACTTCAAGCTCAGTGATGAGTGTAACATAATGCCTAGTAAGATACAGCAATTTCAGGTTGCAGCTGTTTAGGTGGTATCATTGAGGTGTTGGAAGTCACTTTATTTATAGTTAAGACTGCTCAGAAACATAGTTAAGAGTGCTTAGAAATGAATCAATTCACATCACCCTTAGTAATCACTAGTCAGTTTGAAAAAGAAAATAATAAAATAATTATCCACTAATTCTCCAGGCTGTATTTTTCAGAAAGGTGAATAGCGACCGTCTTCAATAAATAAATAAATAAGGTTTTATACCATGATCTCATTGGTCTTTTGGTTTCCTGGAAAAAAGAACACCTATACCACTGAATGTCAAAATAGGATTTTTGGGAATATTAAAACTGGGAATTCTTAAACTCCGAGTATTTTAAATAGACTATATCTTCTTCTGAAAAAATGGGTATCATTTTTAAAAACTGTGTAGCAGTACATCTTGTTTCTCCTAAATCCTTAGCTTTTCTCTAAGCTCCACTCTCCTTTGTCCTCAGTGTTCACCTCTCCTTACAACCATGAGTCATTAGTTTCCTATTCTGCCGAATTTGCATCAGACCCTTTGAAAAGGCTACCAATCTGCAATTTCCCCAAGCTCCTGAGGCAAGAAGAAATCTGTAGCAAAAACACTTCTTTAAATTATTACAACAGTGCTTTTTAACACGATGCTTTTTATCAAGCTTTCCGCAGTCAGTTCTGTGGAGATCTTACTTCAGTCATTTACGTGAAGGGCTGTAAAAATTTATAATCTCTTGCTTCTAAGCCTTTATAACTACTAACACTTCTTTGCTTTCCTTTTTATTTGGGTTATGTCCTTGAGTACTTACTTCTCAATCATATTCAAACAGCTTACTGTTGGAAAAGAAGATGTAATAGGCAACAAAGCTGAAAGATCAGTAAACCAAGCTGACAGGAGGAAGGCCAAGGATAGAAAACTCAGAAAATGCACACACACATTTGCATTCTAAATCCAAAGTAAAAGACCTGTCTTCAGAAACGCAGAAACCAAATATACTCACTCACCAGCTGAAAAACCAGATGTATTTGTACAAAGATGAGGATGACAACAAAGCTGCCGCAATCTGAGCAGGACACCAAGGATATGAGCGTAGTGAGCCAGTACAGTCCCTTCACTGAAAAATCTGAACAACAATTTATTGTTTGAGTATGAAATAGTACCCAGAGTAACAGATGACATCACAAGGGATCAAGTTCAGCTATTAGAATTCTGTATTTTTACTGTCCTGTTTGAATAACGGTTTTCTCAAATACTCTACTGAAAAAGGTAAAAAATTGCTACCAGTAGCATGTTCTACTAGAGAAATTCTAAAGAGCAGTGCCAAAAATTTTAAAATCCCACTTCATACATCTGACATTGCTTTCTGTTTCCAGACGGTTAGAACTTCTAATACATAGTTAAGCAATGGCTTCTTCTTCAGAGCTCAGCAGATGCTGTTACTAATTTGCAATTACTGACTTACAACACACAAATTGACACACTCTGCTACTATAATTAATATGATAGAAACTTCTGGAACTCTGGTTTGTGATATTAAACTCACCAGATTCAGAAAGTTGTCTTTCTATTTACCTGTTAATGGCAGCTTTGCTCTCATTCTTCACAGACTGATAGATTTGTCTTTCTTCCTCTGTAAGTGTGATATGCTGAACAAGTACTTTACGCTCTGGTAACTCCAAAATAGGTTTTCCTTTAACTTTACTTATTTTAGTTCTTCTAAGGGTAATACTCTTAATCAGTGACTGTAAATGCCTAGAAAAACAAAGATAGGCCATTTCCATTAACAAAAAATACCAAAGGGTATTTTTTGCAATTTACAAAATCCAAGCATAATAATGAAATATCATCTGAAATATGAAACGACTTATATATTACATTTCACTTTTAAACTTGAAAAATTAATTTTTCACATTACCCTTCTATCGCCAGTCACACCTTCCCATAAACTCTCTGGAAAAGTTTCATACCTAAGTCCCCCTGAAGTTCCCAATGTGACTGGACGCTGAATTGTTCTGTGCCACCACTCTCGATCAGTAAAAGGTTTCAGTTTTAAAAAGGAAATAAGAGACCACAAATCCTTTACAGAATTCTGAATAGGAGTACCTAAACAACATGTAAATAAACAAAAAAGACTGTAAGACCTCTAAAAAGAGGGAGTTTTGATCAAAGTGAAATCTCTGTATTTTTTCCAAACCATAAACAGCCAACAAGGATTCTCACAATTAATTTGAACTGTTATTATAACTATACATACTTTTTTTTTTAATTAAAACAATACAAAGCACTCAAATACATGCAAGTGAGAGAAGTACACCTCTCGGTGCCAGGAAGCCTTGGAAAATAAAGCTTTTCATGTCATCTTTACCACCAGTAGTTACACCATTATCTTCTTGAAGTTAACTTTAAGAATCATGTCTGCCTGCTCCCGGATAGCTTCTAAGAAAATGGCACATTTCAGAAACCTTCCAACATTCAGATAAATCAGAACTAACGTGCCAGCACATAAACAGGTACTTTTTGTTTGCACCTCCACTGAATCTGTGATATCAAATTTTATTTCGAAATTTGTTGTCATGAGCTTAATTTAAAGAAAGAAAAAAAAAGCCTAAAACACTGACCAAAGAAAACATTCAAACTAAATCTGACAGACAGACACTAAGCATGTCCCACAAAAAAACAAAGTGAAAACACCTACTGGAAAGCACAAGGCAGTATTATTCTATGATAATATGCACTGCAATTCCTCGCGTCAAATGTTTTACCTGTAAGAACCCATCTTCTGTGTGCCTCCAGACTTAAGACAGCTTTAGTTTGCTGAGCATTAGGGTTTCGTATAGCATGTCCCTCATCCAATACAATTCTCAACCACTTGATTTTGTGTAATGGGCTATCATCTCTGATCTGAAACACAGTGTTGTTTTTATCTTTTGACTAGATGAATTTTTTTTGCAATTTCAGTTAGTTTAGGATATTAATATAACAATTTCACAATTAGCAATGAAAAATATTTATTTACAGTTTATTTATTTCACAGGATCAAATAGTAAAACTGAGGCATTCATTCTTTTAATGATTCCTGTAAAATTCTTTGAGTTCTCCTCAGCCCTTATTGCTAAGGATGAGCTACAGCAAAAGAAAACTGGGGCTAAAACAAAAGAAAGGCTTCAACAGCACAAAGATATGAAAGATTACTCAGAGCTCACAGAATCAAGTAAAGTTTCCTTTATACTTCAGATTTGTTAAATGGTTGTGATTTCAATGGAAACACCACTTTTCAAAATATGTCACATGCATATGAATTATTTGGTTGCAATCTGCATAGGACACATCTTCCCTGGGTATCACAAGAGCTATGGAATCAAGAGGTCTCACGATAAAAAACTGTCACGCCATCGAGAACTGGAGCAATCTACACTCTCCACATCCTTTTTTAATCCTTAAAAAGTCTCTTCTGAAAGCCGTCATAATTACAGCAAAGTCATTTTCTCCACAAAAGCTGTCAGTAAAGAACACCATCTGTACAAAAGCGCATGAAGCAAAACTACAGCTACGCCCTTTGGAACATCTATCAGAACGGCTCTCCGACATGCCACCTTCATTATCCCAAACACTGTGATCTCAAATACAGTATTTTCACAGAATGCTTTCACATTTACTTACTCCATAATCAGTAGCTAAAATGCTATAGGTTGTCAATACAACATCTTGTTTTGAAAGAATTGCTGGGTCTTTGTTACGGTCAGAACCATAATAAATATAAATATTCAGGTGAAAATCTTGGCTGGTATGTTGTTCAAACTGGTCCTGAAAAGCAAATCACCAAGAATCACCCAAAAGATACTGTGTCACTATATGATTGTTAGAATAAAATCCTAAAAGTTGGCCTAAGTAATAACTATTTCCCCTAGCCCTTTGATATTCTACACCTGCTTATATAACAAAAGCAATACGGGTTTCTTTTTACGTGTCCACACGGGTGACGAGTGATCAGGAACATTCATCTCGGTCACTAGTAACATACACAGTGTCACATTCTGATGACTATGTTTTTACTTCTTGTAAAATATTAATGTACAACCTGGTGGTATAAGCACTGTAAAATCCAGTGAATCTCCTAAACTGTACTGGGAGAGTTTCTGTATTCTTTCTCACTTTCTATCTTCCTCTACTCTTTGTTCATTCTTCTAGCATTCATTTACAGTTAACATCTACCAGGATAACCACCTTAGGTTTTTACTTTTTGCCAAATAAATTAAATGCAACATTACAAAGTACCGCTTATCTTCAGGCTGCACTACATTGCAATCCGTGACAGGTAACATAACATAAATAACTGTATGACTGTCAGCAAAGTATTAAAAAACAAAAACAACAACAAAAAAAACCACTACCCATGGCTTATGTTCCTTGCACTTGTTCTCTCAAGTACTTGGCATACAGTAATCATTAGATTGACACTTTTAAAATACTTGCTTCAGTTTCAAGTAGATGAAAAATAATATTTTTGATACTATTTACAGCGTTTCCCATTCACAGAATCACAGAAGGGTTGAGGTTGGAAAGGACCTCTGGAGATTATCCAGTCCAACCCCTTGCTCAAGTAGGGGCACCTAGAGCAGGTGCCACAGGGTGGCATCCAGGCAGGTTTTGAAAATCTCCAAAGAAGGAGACTCCACAATCTCTCTGGGCAGTCTGTTCCAATTATATGATTTTAATTTTCCATTAGTTTAAAACTAAAATTTGTTTCTTTTTCTTACTAATGTTCTAGCTAAAAGCAGTAAAGACTTGCAGACAAAAGTGTTAAAGTATCCCCTTAATATCTGCACTCAAAATGGTCTGAAAATAGAAAACCTGTAACTTATGCAGAAACGGAGCCAGAAAAGCCCCTTTAGCTTCTTCCCCCTAGCAGGGCTACTCCCAGAAAGAGTAAAAACACCAAATTTCTGAAAAATCTCTGATAAGTCAGTAAACATGCATCATCAGTAAACCACAACCTGATTTTCAGCATGCAACAAGTAGCACCTGTCTCCTAAACGTCCCCCGTCGTTGCCCAATTTGAGGAGCTAAATCAGTTTGCCACGCCACAAGAGGAGATGGAAAGTGAGCTCTTTTATAGAGGTTAGCTCATTACTCGTAAAATTGCACTGTTGTTAAAGCAGTACTCCATTTCTACAACTTTAATCAAATAGAGCTGCTTTCACAAGAGAGATATTTCATGAAAAATGAAAACCATATGTTAAGCATGAGAGACATGCAATGCCACCTCTGCAACATCAAAACAACATTTACACATTAAAATAGCATAGAACCTACAATCCAGTTGCTTAGGACAGACAGTGGGCATATAATCAGTGTGGTTCTGGGGCCACCTTCAGTGCATTTTTTCTCAACAGACTGAATGCTAGCAGTACCTGAGAAAACAGAAGTCATATTTAGTAACAGTCCACTTTAAAGCAGAGTAGAAGCTCACAGAAATTACTTGTTTTCCTGAAGTCCTGTTTACATTTCATCTCAACAGTATCAAAACAATTCATAAAAACATGTGTCATTTATAAAATAATATCTATACGATATTTCAGCTTCAACTAACACCCAGAAATTAATATGATCTGTGTATTTCTTCGTTACCCATTCTCTTTTTTTTTCTTTTTAAAGGAGTAGCTGCTACCAGAAGAGCAGATCCAAAGCCTGTATCTTCTGAGTTGTCACAAGAAGTTGCTGGGGGGTGGGGGAGAGAGGGCAGGGGCAGAAAAAAAACAGATAAACACAGATTTTTTTTTCACAGCAAACACACGCATGCATTTATTTTTATGACACATTTCATAAAATTCAAACCTGTTAACCAGATTACTTTGCCTTATCCAACACAGTTTGGTAGTGTGCATGCATAAAATACTAATACAACCCCTTACTTCAGGCTATTAATTTTCAGAAGAAAATGATTTACCAATCATTACAAAAGTAGCTTAGTACAGGTTTTGATCCAAGTACTTGAAACCTAAACTTCCTGCTTACTGAACACTACTACCCTGTAGCCCTTCATTTTTTTCATGCAAAATGCTTAGTTCAACAAATCACACATTTCAGTATCACACTTCAGGCATCTACCTCAAAAGATGCACTTAATTTTTTGAATGTTTCTCCAGTTCTAACACCCTGACAGCATCTTTGTCAAAATGTAAGAGTATTACTAATTCAATTTCTCACCATCTATTTTGACCTTGTTCATAGCTTGTCGGAGCTAAAGAAAAAAAAAAAAAAAAAAAAGAAGAAAAAAAAAAAAGATGACCAAAACAGTTATTTTATGAGGATGATCAGGGGCCTGGAACATCTGCTCTATAAAGAGAGACTGAGAGAGCTGGGCCTGTTCAGCCTGGAGAAGGCTGAGAGGGGATTTATTCAGTGTCTATATAAGTACCTCAAGGGAGATAAGTGAGGAGGATGGTGCTGGCCTCTTTTCAGTGGTGGCCACTGACAGAACTAGAGGAAAAGGCCGGAAATTGAAACACCAAAAGTTCCACAGGAACTTAAGGAAAAAAATCTTGACAATGACGGTGACGGCACTGGAACAGGCTGCCCAGAGAGGTTGTGGAGTCTCCTTCTCTGGAGATCTTCAAACCCACTTGGACGCAGCCCTGTGCCACATGCTCTAGGTGACCCTGCGTGTGCAGGGGGTTGGACTAGATGATCTCTAGAGGTCCTTTCCAACCTTAACCATTCTATGATTCCATGATCTTCTATCTGTAAAATTTTCTCCTTATAGCAGCTTCTTAGTTGTATTTTTTTTAATACAGTGAAAACTAACTCCTTTTCCAGTTAATCTGAAATCCTTTTCAATTTTTGCTGAGGAACGGAAAAGAGTACATGTCACAGTAATGAAGGCTTGACTCTTTTTTTTTTTTTTTTTTTTGACAAATAAGAGAATTCCCTACAACTTACGTTCTGTTTTCAGTGGTAGACATTCTTCAGTCTCTCCTAGGTCACTTCTTGAATACCTGGGTTTTTTGGCTTTACCTCTAAGATATCATTATTAAGGAGAAAAAAAAAAAAAGGAAGCTTTACTACTGCTTGAATTTAGATAATAAGCCTCAAGAGAATAAACAAATGCAAAGCAAATTATTTGTAAATTTTCCTTTTAAAAGAAGGCAGAAAAAAAGCTAGAGGAAAAAAAAGTACTGAAAGGTGAATGATGCCCATACGAATTAATACAAATCATCATTAAAATTCATTTTTATTATAAGAAGAACAAGCTACTGTGACTGGAAGACTGAAACGCATTAGTATGCTTCACAGCTTCATCATCTCTTAAGCTGTCTTTCTGATGAAAGAAAAAGACAAAGAAAAGACAAAGACCATTACAGATACCTACCTTTTTGGATGGGAACTTGAAAGTTTCAATGGAATAGTTTCAAGTGTTTTTACACCAGAAACACCAGGCTCCACTGTATTGCTAGATTCTTCATAAAAAAAGAAATAAAGAAGATTCTTCATAGAGAAGCATATTTACGAAAAAGAACATACATATTCTTCAGCTTGATTGTACACCAGCTCTAGAGTAACTTGATCAACAAAGCAAGCAAAGATTTTCATTAAAACAAGCTGAATTGTTCTGCATGTGACACAGGTTACTGATACTAAGGTCACAAATGAAAATCAAAAATGCTTTAAGAAAAGTCTTAATTTTCAAGGTTATTAAAACTGTACTAAGTTTGCATGCGGGCAGAAACCAAACTGTCAAACAAGGAGCATACAAAACGAAGCATCGTACTGATAACAAAAAGGGTCCCAATAAAGTTCTACCAGTAACTTCGAATAATGTTAAGTAGGAAGGGTTTTTTTTTTAAGGTTGAAATCTCACTAATTAGGGATTTCTGCATTGCGTAACACAAAACCCATCATAAGAAGACAAAAAGCCATGTGGTAATATTGTAATGCGTACATCTGGTTTACACAGTCACAAAAAGGTTTTTCTTTGGTGGGCGGGAGGGTGGTTCAATGTCCTTGCGGGATAGTGGCCAAAACCTTCCCAAAGTGCTCAAACAGCATACAAGAAGCAAATACAGTAAGAAAACACAGATACTGAAATGGAAAGAACCCACTTACAGCAACACTTTTGCTACAAGTTAGTTATAGCTCCTGGATCTAGTAGTATACTGCAATGTTTAGGTTTCCTTTTCCTATATGTCAATGGAAACATCTTTGATAGTCATTTTTTTTTAAATACTTCTCTGAGATATTTACTTTGTAGAGAGTTTTTACACATTTGTGACACCAGAGTGGTATTGCAATACCAGAACTGACCACAGTCTAAGAGCTCCTCAGGTAAATGTATTAATTATTATGCAAACACTACTGGTATCTTTATAGTTTACTGTCACCTTTACATAATCGGAGTCCAATGTTCTTCGTGCTGGCAGTACAAAATTCCTAAGGAGAAAGAGAAACTTTTATTCTCTAATGTAGCCACAGGACACAGTGTCAATGACATTATTACACTACCTATCCAGGACTTACTGCTCTGAAATATGAGAAAAAAAATGTTCAGTGGTACGCAGCTAGGTCACTTAATAGTGTTTTTTTTTTTTTTTAGTAGCCACATATACAGTTCAAATGAAACTGCAGAAAGGCAGAGGGGTGAAAAAATCAGGCTACACAGTTGCCCTAGAAAACACACTAATTAACATTTTCTCCTTAACATTCTGAGGAGAAATGTAAATATTTTATATTATTGTGCTAATTTTAGACAAGTATGCATTTAAAAAAGAAAAAAAAAAAGGGGACAAAAATCCCATCCCTAATACTGTTAGAAAACACTGTGCAATAAATCAGGCAATCATAGTACTTAGCTTTTAGTTTGTGTCCTGTAATTAAATAAAAGGAATGTAGCAAAGGAAATACTTCAACTAGACTGCCCAAGAGCTTACAAAATTGTGTTTTCAATTTTTTGTAGTTTCCCCTTCTCATTTAAAATACCTGACAAAAGTATAAGCTCAGTTATTTTTTCATACTGAGACGCTGTGCTTGCTATTTCAGGTGTTTCAAGAACTCTCTAAACTGCACAAAAGCCATGCATGAACCTTCCCAGAAATGACACTGTAACACTATGCTATCTTTATGCATTTATAACAGCAGATGAAATTTCATTGCTAATGTTATAAATTCTTAGGTTAATTTTAATTTTTTTTCCTTCAAAGCCTCTAGGTTCATTTTTCCTTGTAATATACTCAAGAACACATTCTAAGATAGCACAAGTCTACAGCTTAAGCATGCACTTTGAAATAACACAGTCTACCCACCTGCAACTAATCTATCCTTATTCTTTTTTGATATATGTGGACATTAAGTATATCAAGTACAAAAAATTCACAGCATATAAAGTTACTACTTAACTGCTAAATTAAGTATGGACAATCTTTTTCTTTCATCTCACCTCATAAGACTTATCCTTTGTGGTTGTTTCAACTGGAAGAGGCTTGCCATCTTGGAAATTTGTGAGAATCAATGCAATAGTAGTAAGCGTTTTACCCTGCATAATATAACAATGTCATACATTTCACAGACTTAAGATTAAAACAAAAACAAAACAAAACAAAAAAACAACAAAAAAAACCCACACACCCAAAACAAAACACAAAAAAACCAAAACCCACAACTTGGGAAAAATATTTTTACCAATCCCATATCGTCAGCCAGTATTCCTCCAAGAACATTTTTTGGTCGCTCCTTTACTGCGAAGTTGGTAATTATATTGTAATATAAATTATTTCTCTCTTCCCAAAATGGTGGCAAGTCATTACTGTTCTCACGTGAAACCATCCAAGCTAAAGCCTGCTTCTGATGGGGAAGCAACAATGTTCCGACAGCCTGTAAATTAGAGAGAGATGTCATGCATGTTTTCCTACATTAAATACCACCTGCCATTTTTGAAAGAAATGTTTTTATAAAAAATTCTTTTGCATCTACTGAATTTTTTACTGACCCAAGCAACTCATATGACTATATAACAGAACTATACATGTACATGAATGAGAATTTTTATATTTTTAGAGAAAATGTTTTCCAGCTTAAGTAATACCTTTGCTGCTTCCATTTCACAAGTTTTATCATCTTCCTTCAGATGCTCAAACAATCTGTCAAATTCGCTTTTAAGCTGTACAAATGAATTTAAAAAATGTTATTAAAATACAAACTCATTAAACATTCAGTGACTGTATGCCTCTCAGATGGTAATAAGCACAGACCTGCCATGCAAGACTTAAGTCGCTGGACTATGTTTAGTTGAAACAGCAGACAAAGGCATTGGTAGGTACAGCAATATAAGAATTAACTTTTTATTTTCCAAGACACACATAGGCAAATAAAAGCAAGAGCCTAAGATTAAATGGCTAATGATATTCGCAACCCTATGCAATACTCAGTATAGTTATTAACTCACTCTAAAGTTATTTGCAATCTGGAAAACACCAAGAAATAGAAACACACAACCACAACCATATACAGAGAACTGATGAGCAACCAAAACACCCCAAAATGCCAAGGGACTCAAGGCTTTCACAGCTGAAATTTCTGCTTACAGTATAAGAAATAAAAAGTTCAAAAGTTCAATTTGACCTTTAAAGGAAATTTGTAGCTCAAAGACAAGAAAAAAAAAAAGCTTACTGAGACAGACTTCCACTTCACAGGCAACATTTTATTAATAAATAGTTAAAAGGCCAACACTGTTAAAATACTACCTTCCTTGTTTTTACAATGTAGGTAAGAAAAGCAAACCTGTTCTGTTGTCAGGCGTACAGCAGGAGGAACTGGAGAGCTGTAAGTTGATCCAGCCTTTTCAGAGATCCAGTCTGATCCAAGACCACATTCTGAACCTCCTTGCCAATAAAAACATTGTATTTTGAAAAAGTTACAATGACAACGTAATCTCAATTACATCAATCTTCGCTGGCTCATGGGCAACGGTGCTGAGCACAGGTACTGTAAAACACCTGGCCAACATGTTTTCCCATCTGTCTTTTAGTCTCAATTTATCTTTTAATTACTATTGGCTATAAAGGTATGCAAAAAAGCCTTTTAAGTCTCACAGGCAATGAACCATGGGGTTGGGATCCTTTGAGACAGCATCTCGATTTCTTAAACATTCTTCTGCTGCATAAAAGTTGCTTTGCTCAATTGACTGATAACACAAAATACTTTTTACTCCAAATTCTATTTCTCTCTAGCTATGCACAACAGAACCTAAAAGATAACAACTGAAAGTTTGTTTCATATTAATGTATACCTTATTAAAATTGATTTTACACTAAATTTTTACTCCTATTAATAATGAAAACTGCTGTGATTCAACATAAAATAACTGTGTCCTTTAGAACTCAGTGATGTTAGAGTCCTGAAAACAACAATGCAACTGACATAAAGGTCTGCCAACAAATTTAAGGTAAATCCAAAGGTATGCTCTTGACAAATTAACCAGGGACACAAGCACACTTACTGAAAGTAGGTCAATAAAACTGCAGAGTCCCGTGCAAGGCATGGCACAGCCACAAGAAAACAGCATACGAAACAAAGCTTTCTTAATATGTAAATATCAAGGCATACCTCACCTCTCAGTTGCAACATTACATCTTTCTATCCTTACTCCACTGCTGTGGCCCCTTAGGTCACAAACCAAGGGCCAGATCGGAAATATGCTGAGGAGTAAAAGTTTAAGGTCACAGCTAGCCAGCTTTTAAGACAACTAAGGATATGACTTGATTTATTTTTGAGGTAGCTCAAACGCCTCTCCAATTGCTGTCAGCTATTATGAAAGATAGGACACAGAAGCATAGTCCCTCTGAACCTCAAAATTAATAACTGTGAGCTCTGCGCTTTTCCTCAGCTAAAGTTAAAAAATTTTATGAATGCCAACACTATGATAAGAATCAAACCCTTAAATAGTTGTTCCAAACAGTGGATAGATCAATATTTTGAAAACCAAATGTTCAAGACGTACCTTTCAAAGGAGGAGCCAATTTAAATCCATGAATTTTTAGCTGATCTAGCACAGCTTCCTTGTTTTCTTCTCTTCCCCAAAAGCTCATTTGTACAGGCATGGTAAATACATTTTTTGCTCCATAAGGGACAACCCTATTAAGAATCAGAAAAGCAAGACAGAACACTGTTAATCTTTTTTTAATCTTTTACAATGAACTTGCTATTCTTTCAGTGATAAATATTCCAAAATGTTCATATTCAGTGTATGACACAATTTAGGAAACAAGCTTATGCAGAATGAATCCTAAAGCCTTTTAGAGATGCTACCACATCTGGTTTGGTTAAGGACTCCATAATGACCTTTCCTTCAGGAATTTGGTCCCACCAGGATCTCTGAGTTTTATCATATACAGGAAAGAATTAAACTTAATGCAAATAGTTCAAGAGAGTAGTGAAGAGCCTGAAAACATGAAGCTTTAATCATCATATTGCTGCAAGCTGTTGTTTCTGCCAAAAGAAAGTAATCAGAATAGCTTTCAGAATATGGTAGCGCCACTGCAGGATTAGGATGATTCACCTTGTTTAAAACTATGCAAAACAGATAGTCCCTCTATCTTGGTAGGATGAGAGGAAACTTATCAGTAGACCAAACAGTTAGCATTCTTTAATCAATGGCCAACCTGGAGCTGCTGATTAAAACTGAAACATTTCTTAACTTTGCAAATTTGAGAAGAAAACTCAAGGCCTACGCATCTTTAAGTGAAATGCGTTCATTATAATACTAAAAATCACTCCCACAGCTCAGAAAAGATCCCTGCCTAGGTGAAGACCTTTTCCTTCTGTATGCACAATAACAGCCACAATTATAACTGCAAAAGTTAAGTAAGCAAAATTATAATTGTATGTAAATTAGTAACCAATCAATGCAAGAGGGATGCACTTGGGATGATTACTGTGTGTGAATATAGAGTTTGGAAAGTCAGGAGTGTGCTCAATTTGTGGGAAACAACAGAGCACTTGGCCTTGCACAACTCTGAAATAAAGAAGCAACTGTCTCTCTTGCGCATGTCACTGCTGGCCCAGTGCACACCGGGCAGCAAATCTGCTTTTCGGAAAACAGAATCACATCAAAACGCTTCCCTTAGTTTATATTCATGGAATTTAAAAGTATAATTTGTCCACTTACCCTTCAACTACCGCTAGTCTGTTGTCCATAATGTCTGCCAACGCTGCTGCTAGTTCTTTTTTAATATGACCTACTTGGTCTCCATTCACATTCTTGACTTTCACAGCATTTTTATCATAGGGATTACTGGGCTCCCTTTCCAGCGCAACCATTTCATTGTTATTAACCTAAAAAAAACAAACCCCCAAAACATGTTCATTAAGGCACAAATTATTTACAGAAATATTTAACATACACTTATTCAAATGTCCTGAAGCTTAAAGTTAATACAGTATAGCATTCTGTTCAGACACTGTAATAATCTACAATTTACTCAAAAGCATTGCAAAAGAATAAACTAATGTCAGCAATTTTAAAAGTACTCTTGAGAGCAAGAACTACATCCAACTACCAACACCGCAGAGACGCCTCAGTCTCTTAAAACCGGTTTTATAAAGGAAGAGGCATCCCTTTTTGTCTGCCTAAACAGCTCGAAGACCTATACAATTTCTTGCTTTCTATCACTTTGAGCCAGCAGATGAGCGATCCACCAAATAACCAAATCAGGCTTGTATTTTAATTGTATTTTGAAACATAGACTAAGGTTTCAGAATATGCATTTCCTGTGAAGAATTTTGAATACAGCAAGTTGGATAAGACAAAAAAAAAGGCCTAACCTTACACAGTCAAAAATTATGAGAAATTTTATAATTAAAGCTTTTTTTTTTTTTTTAAGCTGGCAACAACTCTTTGTTCTGCTTTACTATTTATCATGCACTTACAACCCCTGTGTAGTATCGTAATCCAACAATAGTTCCTCGCAAAGTCCCATATAAGATTGCTGAATCTGTATCCTCCTCGTCTGGTCCAGAAATGTCATCAATGGAGGAGCCTTCTAACGCAAGACTGGAGCAAAACTCAAAAGAGGAATTATGGCAATAGTTCCTCTCTCCTGTGTGAGAGTTGTGTGGCAAGAATCCCCATCCAGAACCTCTGCAGAAAGACACAATGTGAATTAATTGACAATTACTTAATAATAATGAAAAATAATTGAATAGTATTTCTTTGTAATCACTTATTTTCACGCCTTTAAATGATGGATACTTGTAGACCTAAGTCTAACAATTTTATTCAGATAATACTTACCTGGAAACATTAAACAAAAAGTTTATGTCAAATAACATTTTTCTGTCATTTTTAACTCCAATTGTTTCATTTAATCAAATTACAATAAAGCAGAGTTGACAACATAACTGACTACACTGAAGTATTTGCACATTTGATCATATATTCCCTTGCAGGAGTTTCTTGGTCAACATTAAGAATCACAATTATTTTTGCAGCTGTAGTTATGTCTCTAATTGCAGTTGGCGCAGTAGTATTTCCATGTGTTTCCCAAACACCAGCTTATTTGATCTAAGAGAAAGGTTACAAAAGTGTGGGTAACCTGTTATCTCTATGACTTCATGTCTACAGTTCCACAAGAGACAAGGAACAGAAACACTTATGAGTCGCAAGGCTAATAAAACAGCTGCCTGCACTTGTATTACACCTAACATCCCTTGTCAGTACTTCATATAACTTTAGAAATAACCAGCTACTCCAATTTCACACAAGTACTGATACTGTTTACCTGCACTGTAAGTTTCCGCCCGCCAGGTTCTCTCCCGGATGAGAAGAGACACCCAATAATCCCTAATAATCCCTAATAACCCCTGCACTGTAACTCAACGGATGGAAATGCCTGCAGTTACGGATCAGATGCATACTCAAACTAGCCAATGATTGCTTTTAATAAGTAACATGTGGCAGTAAAAACCCCATATGCATTTAGATAAGTATGCGACTGTTCAACATCTTTTGAAAATCGTATTAGTTTTTATGCCTTCTCTGGAGTGCGGCATCACCACCCACTGGTGTCTTTTCAACCTAACACCTGGAACTCCTGTCCCAGCCGCACGTTTCCCATTTCCAGAACCCCTAATGTGGTTTGAGGGGCAGGGGGCAGGCGACCAGCAAGGGCAGAGCAGGTCGCGCCGCGGCCGCCACCCGCCCGGGGGTGCTGCCAGGACTCAGGGGCAGCTCG